ATTCGTCCGTGCATTGAATATTATTGCCATATCTTTTCAGGTGCTCCTGCTTTATATCTCGAGATTCTTAACAAAATTTAAAGTAGGGGCTGTAATATAATGAAGGTTATGTTGAACGGACACGCTTCTAGATCATTTCACATTAATGCGGGTGCCCTCCAGGACTCTATCCTTAGACCTACGTTGTTTCTCATCTTCATCAACGACCTTCTCGATGTCAACACTTCTCAATTAGACATTTACATTTGATGATAAAACTATTTACTTTCGGGCCTGACAAAGTAAAATTGGCACTTGCTCTCGAAAATGTCCTCCAATCAGTGATTAACTGGGGTAAGGAATGGCTTGTAAATTTTAAGGTTTTCAAAACGAAACTTCTTTACTTCAATCACTATAGAGAATCTTTCTTGCCTGCCATCAGCATGGCTGATCCTGACATGCAGAAGAGAAATTCTTTAAACCTTCTTGGGCTCACTACTGACATGGTGAAATGATTATATTGAATCAATTGCTATGTCTAGGATGCTCGTCTGCTGCTGGGAATTTTGGCTCACTGTGTCGTGCCAGACAAATTTTCTCGTCCGAATCCATCTTGCACATTTATAAAACTACCATTCGTCCGTGCAGTGAATAATGCTGTCATATCTGATTTGGTGCTTCTGCTATATATCTCGAGATTCTTGAGAAAATCCAAACAAGGTTCTGTAATGTAATCGATCCTGACCTGGCATCTCGACTTCAGTCATTTTCTTACCGACATGATGTGGCTTCCCTCTGTTTTTTTCAGCATTAATTCTTGATTCCCATCTTTTAACTCACTGTACTTTCACATAAGTAGACGCATTTTCTAACGAAATATCGAGGTAGAAAATAATGTATATACATGATTAACTGTCCTAAGGAATTTAACAGAAACCACAGATGATTGTGCACTAGTTGACAAAGCAAAAGTCAAAGTATGTGCATTGCATGGAACAAAAAAAGCCTTTTAATTAATGGACAATTAATCTTGACTGAACACTTTTATACTTCACACCTCAAACTTTTTATTCAAAAATCACCTTAAATAATTTGCTCAATGAATGCTAAGATTCACATTATTAACATAAATTAATAAAATAATAAATAAAAATATATCTAAATGCTTTAAATGCATCCTCAGTAATGTAGGCAAAGCGACTATAGAGGCGTTGTACAAGTTTGCATTTTAAGCGTGGGTGCTTTCAGCGAGAATTAAGGTAACAAATGAAAACAATTGGAGCTGAATATACATATATATATATATATATATGTGTGTGTGTGTGTGTGTGTTATATAAGAATTAGATTTTACATATTTGACAGAATCCTGTTGAAAAAGGTTTTCTGTTCGTCGAAAATTCTCCACACCATGAAATAGTTTAAAAAAAAAAAAAGAAAAAAGTAGTGTATGCAAAATACCTTACTTGAACATATATTTAATCTAGGTCACGAGATTAATTTCCTACAGTAAGACTTTCGATCTTTTTGGCCAATAGACATTAATTTTACTGTTTAAAAGATGTTTACTCAAACAGGTCTAACCACAAAATATAATGTTTATATATATATATATATATATATATATATATATATATATATATATATATATAGAGAGAGAGAGAGAGAGAGAGATAAGAGGATATAAAACAAATAATTGGATATAAAAACAAATAATTAGATATATATATATATATATATATATATATATATATATATATATATATATATATTTATATATATATATATATTTATATATATATATATATTTATATATATATATATATATAGTATAAATGTATGTATATATTATTAATTAAACATTCTCAAGTAATAAACATTATTAAGTATTAAAAATCTGTCGGATTAATAAATAAAAAAAGCATTACCTCTCTTAACACACACACACACACACACACACACACACATATATATATATATATATATATATATATATATATATATATATATATATATATATAAAGTGTGGCTGGTCCTGCACGAGGCCTTCACCACTATAATCAAATCTCATGTGCCGGTGTCGGGATGTCGGTTTCCTGGGGACTTATCGGCCTGACCCTCATACGTCGAACGCGATGGGAGAGTCGATTATATATATATATATATATATGAATGAATGAAGAAAAAAGAAAACTTATTTTAGCCGACGTGTTTCCTCCTCTGATGAACCTTATCAAGACAAATGTAAGGATATTATTTTGCGACAATGTCTATAAACAAAAGTAAAACTGTTTTTCGTTTTTCAAAATGTTGAAATTTAAAAACCGAAAATAGAAATCGGTGAGCCGTGTTCGAATTCCAGTCGAGTTCGTTATATTAGCTTACAAATATCCTGAAGAAAGTTATGAATAAACCTCTTCTCTCCACTTCAGCTACGGGTTAATTAGTAGAGCTTATCAGTAAATTATTTTCATCACCAAAAAATTCTCACAATCTAGCAATATTCCTGGTTTTAAAAAAAG